TTCCTTACAGTATCAGCAAACCTGGTACCACGAAGGACCACGCAGTCTGAAAACAGCGAGGCTGTGGCTTTTTTTTTTTTTTCTCCCCAGGTGAGATACACCAGCACCAACGAGCGAGGGAGATGCTACCTTTTTGTAAAACCCAGCTGCTAATCCCGCTGCGGGTAGCGCAGGAAACGTGAGATCAAAGGAATGGTGAACGTACACGGGTAGACAAGTCCAGCGAGGTGAGAGCTGGAGTTCTCAGTGGCTGGCTGTAGCACTAGCCCAGTTTGGGGGGAAAGAAGGGGAAGGGCCTGTTTCCAGCAGCAGGGCAGGGGAAACACAGGGACTCGTCACTCCACCTTCCCTCTTCACAGGGCAGCGAAGCGGCTGGAAGAAGCACGGCTGCTCAAAGAGATTCCGGAGGCAACCAGGACGTCGCAGAGACAGGAGCTACACAAATCCCTGCGAGTAGGTTTGGCAGCTGCTCAGCTGCTGTTTTTACAACTTTTTACTGATCCTCCAAAGCGATCGGAAAGCGATCGGAAAGCGATCAGCTCCCCGGAGGTGCTGTCCAGATCCATGTGGTTTTCTGCACTGTCGCCTGCTGGAAAGTTCTGCTTTTTCTGTCCTTCCCTGTGGTCTGCATAAAGCGTGTTCCAGCTCTTTCTTCAGTGGTTCAGAGAGCTGTACTTTAGTTGTCCCCTTGCACAGCAGAGGGGTGAAGAGCTGTCCCTGCGTTGCCTTGCCACTTGCCTGTGAAGCTAAAGGAATTTATTCAGGGCTTTGTCGCAGGTTTAGCTGGCTGGGAAGGGACCGCTCGCTTTCCTCTTCCTGTACAGTGGTCACCAGTGCATAAACCCAAGGGAAATCATAACCAACACAGGAATGCACACCATGTTTTACATGACTCTGAGACGCCCTTTTTGAGCATGTGAAGTCAGATTCCCAGCTTAGCCGAACAGAATGGCTCAAGCACACAGTCTGCTGCCGCTCTAATCCTGTTTACACCCAGAGGCGTCAGCTGCCAAAGGATTTGCTTCTCCCCTGAGCACACCATGCTGCCCGCCCTGGTCTTTCTGGTTGTATTCATTGGGTGAGTTGTAAAAAGAGGCCAAAAGGACAGTAAGTTCTCTGTCAAAACCGTACCTACCAAGCAGGCCCGTGGGGTTATTGGTGGCAAGTACCATGGGTGGCATGTTGAGGGCGATGCTGTGCCCCAGGGCTGTGCTAGCTTGCTGGCTCCGTGGCCCTCCTGCTTGGAGCTGGGGCGGCTCCGAGGCATCTCCTCCCTTTGAAGGTGACTTTCCAAAGGCCTCTGCCTCCTCCTGCGTACATTTGCCTCCTTCACCTCGGTCTTTGGCCAGGGCTTTTGCTAGGTCGTTTGTACTTTACTGATTTAGTGTTTTCTTTGTATTTGGTTACAGTCCTTAAATAACTTCTGCAGTCAGATCGGAGACGATCGCCCGCTGTCCTACTGCCACTTCAGCCCCAATTCCAAGCTCCTCGCTACGGCCTGTTGGTGAGTTCTTCCACAGCACTTGCTGTAGGGGCTGGGACAGCAGCGCAGGAGGGACGGAGGGGCATGGTACTGGAGGCCTGTGAATTGTGAGGGTTCCGACATGCTTTTTCTTCCTACTCTGAACTCTCTCCACCCCGTTTTAGAGCTTAGCAGAGATTTCAGTCCGACTCCATTAGTTCCTGTGGCTGGTTGTCCACAGTGTGTTGGTATTTTAGCCACTGCAGAACCCCCCCGGGTGGTTTTGCAGCTCTGTGATCTCTGACTTTCCTGTCTATGCTGACGTCTGTTTCTTGTGTTCAACAGGAGCGGGTTGTGCAAGCTCTGGTCCGTGCCTGACTGCAACCTTGTTCACACCTTACGAGGTAGAGAACAACTCTCACTGAGACTCTTTGTTTAGTTCTTTTGTTCCTCTCTGTCCTGAGTTCCCGTATCTGAATTACTTTGTGGCTCAAACCGTGGTGTTCTTTGGGCTCTCTACTGAGAGCGTCACTTAGGCTTGGGGAGCATGGGCACGTGTCAGATGATCAAGAGGAAGTCCTGGCCTTTCTCTTAGAGCTGAGTTTGCTGTTTCTGTTTCTGAACGGTGTTTTGTTTCGTTTCAAAACCTGGTTTGAGTTGTTTTGAGCCAAATACCAGCATTTTTGGCCAGGCCGCTTAACAGCAGTGAGGTTCTTTGTGCAGTGGTCACAACTTCGACTAAATACAAATGTGAGGACAAATCTCTTGATTCATATGTGGAATTTTCAGGGCTTTTTGAGGGTTACAGACCTTGGCACCAGCGGGTGCTTCTGGAAGTGCAGTTTAGCTGCTTGCAGGACAGATGTGTCTGGTAGTGACAATGCAACTTCACTCAGCATGGGAGGACACAGTGGAAGTGTTCACTGGTACCTGACTAATTAGTAACAAAGAAATGCTGCTTTGCTGAAGAACTGGCCAAGATCACGTGGCAGATGATGCATTTTGATTTTCCTTTCTCTTAAGGACATAACACCAACGTGGGAGCAATAGTCTTCCATCCCAAAGCCACCATCTCCCTAGACAAGAAGGATGTTAACCTGGCCTCGTGTGCGGCTGATGGGTCTGTCAAACTCTGGAGCCTTGAAAGGTCAGAATGATACCAGACGTGCACAGCTGCAGCATTGTTGTTTTGGGGTCTATTTTGTGTTATTAAGCATACTGGACATTTACCATCCTCCTGCAAATATAACCTTTTCTTGTAGCTATACCAGTGCAATTCCTGGCCTCAGTATGTGCCACCTTCTTCAGCAGGAAAAGAGATCACCCTGATTAGGGGAATCAAGGTGAGGGGAAATGATCCGAAAAGAATCAAGTCAGAATTGCTGCTGGGCATTGGTAAACTGCTTTGGGTGATGGATGGATGATTTCGAGATTGCTTTGTTCAAACCTTTTATTTGGGAGAAAATTTCCCCTCTTGGATATTAAGAAATGAACTTTTGAGTTATTGGGAAGTATTCAGAGAGGGACTAACCGAATACACGACCACACACCATAGCTTCATCCAGTAATAAAAACAAGTGGCTCCATCATTGGACAGTGTAGTTTTGGAAGATGCACAGCATCTGTCTCCAGCCTGTGAAGAAGAGAACGGTGTAGATACCGAGCCCTCGCGTCCGCTGTGTTTGAACAGCAGAGCCCTGCAGTGCATCTGCGGAAGAGGCAGGCAGCTCCGAGCCCCTCAGCTCGTTATCCTTGGCTGCAAGCTGCTGCTTCTGATGAGGAAGCGCATCTGTGCAAAGGGATGGGCTGTTTATCAGTCAGATGTGACCGCGTCTCTTTAGTCAGTCTGTTGGAAAGAAACTCTGAATGCTGTTCAGGCCTTCTGCTGAAGGCTGCTGACCTGCTGCCTGTAGTTCTGGGGCAATAAATACTCGCTCTGCCCTGCCTGCCCTGCGATTCCTGGATCTGCAGTAGTTCGGGGTGTGTTCTGTGTAGTAAAACTCCCTGCTGTCCAGGGAGCCTGCGTTTTGTTTCTGCTGTTACTATTTTCAGAGTGCTATTAACAGGGGCCTTGTCAATTTTCAGGAAATAATTATCCCAGGAGAAGTTTATAAACAACAGGAACGTGGATAAGGGGGTTTCACTTGGAGCTGTAGCTGTGGGAACGAAAGGCAGAATCCAGAGTCATTAGTTAAAACTCTGCTTTTCTTGCCTGGCTTGCGTTAACTGGCCGCTGTCTTGCTGTGATCGTAACGATTGCAAAGGCCTGGCCAGAGCCAGCCACCTCTGACCACTCTCCCATGACTTTTGTTTCTGTTTTTCAGTGATGAACCGGTGGCAGATATCGAAGGACACAACATGAGAGTGGCACGTGTGATGTGGCACCCGTCTGGGAGGTTCCTGGGTACTACCTGGTATGGAGATCTGGTTATTGGCTTTCGGGCATTACCGTTAGCTGTGGAGCCGGCAGCCCAGTGGGTACCGCTGCGTGTCCGCAGAGGAGCCCAGCACGGGCAGGGGTTGGCCGGTCTTGACAACGGCTGGGCTGTTGCAATGTAAAGAACAGCAAGTCGTTGGGATTCCTCTCTCTGCCCCTCCTGCGGGACCCTGTTGGTCTCCAGCTGGACATAAAATGCCCACAGAGTTAGTGAAATATCCCGTTACTCTCCTTGGAGATACGTTTAGTTGGACAAATGCTTTGTTTTTACAGCTACGATCACTCGTGGCGCCTGTGGGACTTGGAAGCTCAGGAGGAGATTCTCCATCAGGAGGGGCACAGCAAAGGGGTCTATGACATCGCCTTTCACACGGATGGCTCTCTGGCTGGGACGGGGTGAGTTTGCTTTGCGTCAGCACTGGACGTGAAATATTATCAAGGTTTTGCTGCTGACTCATGCCAAGCACCCCAGCGATTTCTGCTGGCGAGGCTGAGCGTACTCTGGCAATTGGTGAACTCCCTGGTGGGTTCTGTCTTCCCAGTGGACTGGATGCTTTTGGCCGGGTGTGGGACTTGCGCACGGGACGCTGCATCATGTTTCTAGAAGGCCACCTGAAGGAGATCTACGGCGTTAACTTCTCCCCAAATGGGTAAGAGAGGAGCTTGCGTGGTTTATGTGGGAGCTCTGAGTACAAACCCCAGCTCCCGACAACGTGTCGTTCCTCCACCCTTTGGCAGATACCACGTTGCAACTGGCAGCGGTGACAACACTTGCAAGGTGTGGGACCTGCGGCAAAGGAAGTGCATCTACACCATTCCTGCCCATCAGAACCTGGTGACGGGCGTGAAATTTGAACGTAGGTGCCTCCTGCCTGATGTTCCTCGTCCCTGCCTCTCCTGAGCTGAGGTGGCAGGGGATGGGGCAACTCAAAGCCACAGCTTCAGGTCAAGAAGGCCTGCACTGGTCAGCAGAGAAGATTTGTCATGTTTTTATTTGCAAATCTCACTTCTCCCTTTTTCTCATCCTGTGCTGCAGCCCATCACGGCAACTTCCTGCT